TCCTGCTGTTTTACCACACCACTTCTCATCATTTTAAGTGACTTCACAATACTTACTTTGTGTGTGTGGATGTGCCATAATTTGCTTAACCATTTTCCTCTTTTGGGTCATTTAGGATATTTACTAATTTTAGATATTATAAACAATGAGGCAATGAACATCATTGTGTTTACAGACTTTCCCCCTATTTTTGGATTATCACCTTGGAATAGAGTCCCAGAAGTGGAATTACTGGGTTAAAGGGTAGGACTGTGTTTATGGCTTTTGATACTTATTGCCAAATTGCTTTCCCAGAGGACGGTGTTTAGCCTAACAGGCTCACTTTATAGGCCCGGGGGAGTCGCCTCATTCCTCTAGGATGTCAGGTTGCCCTCTAACCACTAGAGGGTGTGAAAGGATATTGCTCAAGTGACAAGAGCCTGTCCTCCTCTAGGAAATCAAATTTGCTCAAGGAGTCTTCAGAGGTAACCTGGGAGGGAGAGGAGGATCCTTAGTAAGAAACTTAATACCGAAATGGACTGACTTGCTTAGATTTCCACTGAAGGCAGGCTGGTTTATAATCTGGACTTTGGGGAGAGATCAGTAAGCAGGGGCTCAGAGGCCCAGGGTTTGAGGTTGGACATGCTGCGTCCTGCTCAGTACCCTTGAGTGACTGATCTGTGTGTCTCTATATGAGGAATTTTGAACTTCCATCTTTGTGCAAATTAGACTGGCAATAATTCTGAGTCCCTCCAGTGTAGAGAGAGTGTAATGCTCATGTTTGTAATGCCCACAGCAGCAGCACTTCATAAGAGAGCAATAAATAGTGACTGAATGAATAGATAAAATGAGACCAGAAATCAAGAATGGGCGTAGGAAGGTGGCATAGAGAATAGTGCAGGTTCCTGGTACCCACAGATGGTTTACTGAAGAAGGTATGTTTGGGTACTTAACGCTAAGATGTTGGAGATGAAAAGATACTTGAAGAACATCTTGTCTTTGTTCCTGGGAAGAATAGAGGCTCAGGAATAAGGATGACAAAGTTGTTACTTCCAGTTTTTGTTTTTGTCTTTTTCATTTAACCAACATTTCTTGGGTACCTATAGTGTGCTGAGCCTTGTGCTAGACATTGGGGCTAAAAATTAATTATTGTGATGAGTTTTTGCCTTCGGTGAGCTATAGTTTGTGCAAGGAGATGAGCCATCCATGCTAACCATTAAACGAAGGGTGCAGCCTCTTAACCAAGGCTCAAGAAGGCACAGGAAGTTGGGAAAACTGGCCTGGACTCAGATTTTCTTAGAAAAGCACTTAGAATGCATTCTTTGGAACATTAGTTCAGTTGGACATTTAATAGAAGTTAACTAAACCATGGTGTGCTAGGTATGTTAGTCAGCTATTGTTACAATAATGCTGAGTAACAAATTAACCCCAAATGTAATCACTAACAATAATATTTATCATTACCATTATTATTATTATAATTATTATTTTAGCATGCTCACAGGCCTGTGGAGTACCTGAGGTGCCTCTGCTACACAAGTCTCTTATTCTGGGATTAACAGGCTAATCCAAGGCAAGTGTTTCATGGTGAAGAAAGAATAAGCTTCCCTCATGAACATATTTCAAGTCTTTCTTCATATCATGCCCACTAAGATCTGACTGGCCAACTTAAGTCACCACGGCCAAGTTAGCTATTAATGAATCAGGGAAATACACTTTGCCTTCAGTGGCAGAAACTGCAGAATGTGTTTAGGGAGGGGAACAATTGGGAGCAATCATTCAATCTGTCACAGTGGTCATATTAGTCTAGGGAAGCTTGGCGACTTTGATTTATTTATTACAGGACTTTTCAGAGCCTTTAGAGATGATACTATTTAAAGCCCTCACTTTAAAAGAAAGCAGGGCTCCGGGGACCCTTAGAAATAGATGCTGAGTAGTGTAGGGACACCAGTCAGGTCCAGTCTTGAGGAAAAGTTTCAAGTAGGCAAAATTTAGAACATGTACTGTGGAGTCAAATTTTCTTTCTGGGTAAACTTAGGAAAATTATTTCACCTCTCTGTGTTTCTGATTCCTCATTTGTAAAATAGGGAAGGTAGATCCACCTTATTGGGTAGTTGAGTTAATACTTGTAAAGTGCTTAGAACATGAGCAGGAAT